TTTCCATTTGGGACTGATTAAGTATTCTGTCCATTTCTTTACTATCGGAAACTATCACAGACTGTATGAATGGGGAAAGTGAGAGTGCTGAGAATTTAAGTTGGACAAATACATGTCAAACCATAAGCATACTTATGTCCTTTAATAATTGGTCTAAATAGGACCCCTTTAAATTGGATTATACTTCTCTGAATCCTCTTCACAGTGGGTCTTTGTCAATTACATGGTGTCCTACATCAGAGATGAATTGTCCAGTACAGTTGCCTTGGTCCTCTTTTCCAATGTGATATGAGGAGTCAGGAGTGATTTATTTTTAGTCCTACAGTCATGGGCACCCCTGCATTTCTGTCAGATAGGGCAACACGTCTCCCGGAAAATTGTTGCTATCACAAATACTTGGTATTCTCATGTTTATTTCTTTTGTTTGCATTGGAACAACACAAAAAGCAGAGAAAAACAATCTGAGCTTCCACACAGAGCTTTAGAAACGGACTGGACAGAATTATTGACACCTTTTTAAAACCATCAGAAAAGGTTGTATTTCCAGCTTTAGATGCTCCTTTAATTTGTAATGAAACTCACCTGTAGCAACCAACAGTTGCTGGCAATATAGAAATCACACTTGCAACCAGTTAAAATGGAAAAACCTTTGTGTCATGTGGACCACACTGAGCATGGAGGGGGAAAAACAGAGCAAAGAACTGTCTGAAGATTTGAGAATCACAATAGTGGAAAAGCACGGACAATCTCAAAGCTACGTCCATCTCCAGAGATCTTGCTGTTCCTGTGTCCACTGTGTGGAACATTGTCAAGACGTTTACAGCCCATGACATTGTAGCTAATCTCCCCGGACATGAACGAAAAAGAAAAATAGATGACGGATTGCAATGGAGTGTTGTACAAATGGTGGATAAAGAACCTCGATCAATGTCCAAACTAATTTGAGATGACCTGCAGGCACAGGGTGCAACAGTGTCAGCTCGCACTATCTGTCGCCTTCTGAATGACTAGGGACGCTATGGTAGAAGATGCAGGGGGACCCAACTGCTGACACAAAGATAAAAAAGCCAATTTGGAGTTTGCTAAAACTTACCTGAGGAATGTCCTGTGGACAGATGAGACTAAACTATAGCACATTATTCTGTTTTAAGAAAACAAAATGAGGCCTTCAAAGAAAAGAACATGGCTCCTACAGGCAAACACAGTGGAGGTTTACTGATGATTTGGGGTTGCTTTGCTGCTTCAGGCCCTGGATGTCTTGACTGTGTGTATGGCATTATGAAATCTGAAGACTACCAATGAATTCTGGGGCCCAATGTAGGGCCCGGTGTCAGAACGTTGGGTTTCTGTCAGAGGTCACGGGTCTTACAGCAAGACAATGACAACAACATTCCCATTTGTAGCCATGCCAGTGATGATTCTCCAGAGACCTTTGAAGAAAATAGAGGGCGAGTGTGAAAATTTACAGTCCTTTCCAGCTGACCCATTGACCACGCTGGCATCAAAAGCTTCCTCCAATTAGTGAAAACAAATACACAGCTCCTGGTCTGTAGGCAGGGTTAGAAAGCTGAGCATACACATTCAAACATCATCACTGGAGTGGGACATTTACACTAAATTATGGTTTGTTGTTGATAAGTCAGTTCTCACAGCCACAAAACCAGTTTAGTTTTTCAGTCACTTTGGCTGTGCTCAAAGTGTGCCTAGTAAATGGAAGCAGAGCATACTAGCCTTCCTGTAATGGCATGTCTCTACTAGCACGTTTGCTCAGCTTTGAGGAAGGGGATGAGATGAATCATCTTTTTCCAGTGGGTAACCACTTTATATGTCTACTACACACAGTATAACCACACATTTGAGCACTGATCATGAAAGCTATGTCTTTTGGCAAGCTAACATTTGCTAATAAGCAGCTCAGGCTGATGGGAATGTCATCACTTTTGTTGGTATTTTGTCCAAGAGCAAAGTATTGGACAATTAAAATTTCACGATGTTGTCAGGGGATCCCCTGTGTTACTGCATTTACCCTGAGATACCTGTGTCATAGCCTAGTGTGGATAAAAAAGGCAGCTAAGGCTAGAGGTTTTTGAGAATTACCTAAATATGGAGTTCACAGATTTTCTTTGACCAATAAATAATAATACTACTGCTTGTTGGTTCTATTAATCTGAATCGGTTGTAGGTAGGCCTACCCAGTTTCATAATGAAAGTAATATTTGTTCTTTCTCACACAGGTGCTTCATTGTGTAGGTTGTGGTTCTTTGAATGTGGAGTAGGAGGAGAAGAATTCTCTTTCACCAATAACTTCTAGTCACCCCCCTCTCCCATTCACACCACCATGCTGCGAGTATCTGTCCCCACCCCCAGTTCACAGAGAGCAGTGGAAATTAGATGAGGTTAAAGCTGCTAATAATAGATCTTTTAAGCATGTAATTTCTTACTATTGTTGTGTTCCTTTGTTCTGCAGTGTTAGAACACTACATTTACAGTAAATTCTCTGTCAACTCATATTGCATAAACCACACAGATCAGTGTACAGTAATGGAGATAATTGAGCAAATTTTTAAGGTAGGTTTGGCTCCATATCACCTGTACATTGTGTGAGATAATCCTTCTTAAGATATGCTTCTGTATTGGCAAGTGTACCGAACCTCCTGTGAAACACAAAACAGAGATCACATTTCTGTCTGGGCTTTCTTATCTTTGTCTGGAAAGAGATTTTTTTTGTACTGTACATTACATTTTTGGATATGATCATTTGAAAAGTAATTGTGCAATTCTTTTAGATTTGTGAGATAGAGTGGCAGAAATTCAGAGGCCAAAGTAGGCATTTTGAGAAATTCTCTTAACAGTACTTATTTAAATGTTTGCCATCAGATTACGTCACAAAGAGAGTCATAGTTGCCTCAGTCAGTTTTTAGTAGGATGTAGTCATGAGTCTGAATGGTTAAAATCAAGTGAGTTTGTCTTTTTTGCTGGTTTTGTTGTACATTTAACCATTTTTCATTGTGGTAAATTGTTTTGTGCCTGTTGCACAAATTTCATCCATGCATCCCAGTTTCCCTAAAAGGAGGAGGAATGGAGCTAGCTTTCATGCCATGCAATGGTGCAGGTGAAGAGATAAGACTTGTTGCAGCACTGCCACATCTACAACAAAAAATACACCCATGTAATGAAGTTCAGCCCTTAAGCTATGTTCTTCGGTTCACCGCTGAATCTCTGCACTCTACAATTCAATTTTTTTCTGATTTATTTTCTGACTTATTTCTACGAATCTGTTCCTGGTCGCTTTGATGTCTAGCGGATTCATAATTATGCAGCTGTGTCCCATTTTATGCATATTAATATATGGTTTCAGCCTTTTCACTGTCAAAAATAGCCCAATGATCCATATTTCCTACTGTAAAACCTGAGCTAGCTTGACTACTCTTCCTACTCCAAATGTAACTGTAATGCATAGGTAAATATATTATTTGGAAAACATCGCTAGATCATTTTCTTATAATCAATTCACAGGGCTGATAACCTGCAAGTTGCACTTGAAATCAGTCTTCACTGTTAACTGACAGTAATAGCTTCTGCGACTCTGCTCAGTGAAAAGTCATATAATATTTGACATACATATACATGTGATACCAAGTCTGGAGCATGTACAATTGGTTTCTACAAAAGAATACAAAATAGGGAAAATATTGTCATACCAAATGTAACAAAAAATTATTAGAGAGCTGTCATATTTCATATGAGATTCTTTGGTTCCTTTACTATAAATATTCTGTAAACACTACTTGGGGGAGGGGTTGATGTTTTCATTGTTCTGCCTGTTAATCAGCTGCTTAATCAGGGTTAGTGGTGTTATGTGCCGTTCGCACCTGTCAGTGAGCGAACGAGAAAGAGGCGGACCCAGTGTTGGTCTTTGGTTCTTGTTACCATTGCTAACTCTGAGAGACGAGGCAGTCCAAGTAACTTCAAAACAGTGCTGATTTATTCAAACGATCACAGGTAAAATTAACATTACACTCTCAGGTATTTTGCACCTCCAAACTGCTCTCAGGCAGATGAAAGATGAAAGACCCTGAACCCACCAGGCCTATACATTACTGTATATCCCTTCGGTTGTGCTAGCCCCATACTACTGTGTGTGTGTGTGTGTGTGTCTGTTGATTAAGTGGTGTGTAGCTAAAAACATTCTCACAGACTTCTAGTAACATGTCATGACATTAAACATAAGAAAATATTATGCCTAAGACTATACACACCATAATAATATTAAACACCCTGTCTGCTGACAGTCATCAACTCTTCTCTCTAGTTATCCTTGACCAGATGTACCCTGTAGAAACTCATAAGCATGCTTAAGCATTTAACAGTCTAACTAGACATCCTGTCTCCACTAAACATTTCTAATACATAAAGTATCTATCCAATATCTGACTAAAAATACCTAACACCAGGTAGCCGACTTCGATGCAAGCAGTGATTTATTATGTACAGTGATGAGGAGAAATAACAAAATGCACAGAGGGAAATAGTGCGTAGTCCTGTCGATGAGTAGTAACCGGGTGTTGAACAACAGCAGGAGGTGAGGTGAGGTGAGGAGATGGAGAGCTGGGCTGAGCTGCGTAGGCTGGGTCACTCCTGGGCTGGTCGGAGGTGATAGAGACAGAGAGATGATGACAATAGTAGAACAGATAGGCGACTGAGCATTGACCTGCCTGGGAGGGGAGAGTGGAGCCACGGTCCGAAGGAACAGTCCATGGGGAGAACACAAAACAGTAGCTGGCTAGGGAATAATAATATACACCAAAAAAAAAACAAGACAGCACGGAGAAGAAAAAAAAAATGGCCTAGAGACTAGAACGAACTGGCAAGTGACTTAGGAGTGAAACCGGGTAATATAGTGAGCAACCTAATCAAGTGCAGCTGGTGATAAGGGAGTGAGGAACAGGTGAACGTGATTAGTGTTAATGGGCAAGAGACAGTAGGAAAGGTGAGGGAGGCCAGAGCGGCCGAGCAAACCTGACAAGTGGAGTCAGGTTTGTTAGGTTAGACCTCTTACCCACAGGTAAACTACTTTAATCTAAATATAACATTGTTTTTCATTTGGTATACTTATGTATAAGGATAACTGGAGGTTTGTAATAAGTGCAATATTTTATATTGCTGTTTATGAATGATATGTTATGACACTAATGCCATGTCTTTGTGTGGCTCACCCTGTAGTCACTTGAGCAGGTAGTAGGCTCCAGTGGAGGGAGGCTGAGAGGATAAAATGCAGTTCACATAGGAAGTGGTGGCAGCTTGTTGTGAGGCTGTGGTCTTTTTTTTGTTTGTTCACTTTGAGATTCTTTATTTTAATTTCCTGATGTGCTTCTTCAGCCTCTTTATAAAAGAGCTCCAGTGCAAACCACCCCAGTTGGGATGGCGGCATAACATGCTATAATGCAGCAGTTTTTTTGTTTATGAATTATGTATATCACAGACACTGTTGTTGAGAAAACAGAAAAAACTCATTGGTTACCTTGCTGAACAATGTTTTATATATATATATATAGTTTGGGGGCCATCATATATTACATTTGTGGTTGTTTGAATATATATGCTTTCTTTGCTGTTTAGCTATTTAATTCCTACATGCCGTGGGTTTTCACATAGATGCTTGATGTTGATAAAGCCAAAGTTTAAAAAAAGATTTTCAAATAGAACTTTATTGTCATGACATTTAGATTTTTACATTTATTTACACCACCTAGACAATCATAACATTCATCTTTATAATCATTAAACATTTAAATTAATATACTTTAAGTATAAGACCCCAACATTTGCCCCCTGTCATGGTGGGAGGGGATTAAATTAGCATGTCGTATGCTCGTACCAGCAATAGTTTTAGTTCACAGTATCGTGGTAAACCCTCCACTAAATTTATGTCAAGTATATCAGCACATTCAAATTCCAGTAATATAGGAGTGATAGAAGCCCAGACCAAGTCAGTCACATTCCAAAAAATGAGTGCATAGGCCTCTATGATACCAAAAGTGGTTACAATCCTACTTTATGAACATGTACTGTATACAGCATGTAGTTAATGGCATCATAATCACACTTAAAGTATAAAAGGTTCAGTGACCAAATCGCTGAGGTAGAGAGAGTTGTTTCTTTCTCTTACTTGAAGCCATTTGAAGCCACTGCAGAAAGCCATTCTAGTCCAAATAAAGGCAATATGTAACACTTGGTAACAACACCAAGGTGTTAGCATAAATGCAGGCTGTGCAATATGTGCACTGGCTTTCAAACCCAAGCCTCTAGGGCACTCACTAATGCTACCTGAACAAAACCAAACATGATTTCTCTCTCACTATGAGGAAAGCACAGTATGCTACAGCAATTAAAACATATTCATGTTTTGTTTGCCACTTAATAGATGTGCTATCATTGGTGATTTGGTGACAGCTCTTAGCCAAAGAAAAACCTCCAGCATAACAAAGAAGAAGACAGAGAAAATTTGGAGCAGGCTACAGTGAAAGAGGTGAGAAGGAGGGTCCCATCAAAAAATGTTGCACAAGGGTCCAAAATAGAATATTATGCTACAGCATAAAAGCCTATAAATATAGAACAAATAGGTGCACTCCTTAGAATGGCAATTTATTCAGCTCAGATTTGGTTGTATTGCAGTGTATTGTACTGTGGCTGTAATCTGCATACTGACAGTGTCAGTCTTTCCTGTCCCTATAAATACACTCTTCCAAGTCAGTGTAATTAATATGACTTTTCAGGAAGCACCTCTGAAAATTGCATTAGTGCACAAAACAGCAAATTCAAATATTATCCATGGCTTCTCTCTGCATAAAGAAGAGATTACTGGGATGTTTTTCTTTGATTCTCACACATTTTCTGTACTTCCTGTTGGTATCCACTGAGTTTCAGCAGGTTGTTGGTGCTGCCTTTGCCTGGTCAAGCTATACGTAGGATCTCCGCTTTCTGAGTGCAGACCAGGTCTGTGTTGACCATTTTCCACATGTGCAAGAGATCTGACGGTAGCAGCTTGTGCACCACAATCATACTCTTAAAGAAACAAGGTTCTCGGTTCAACTTACTGCTCTTATTTTTCACCAAGCCAAAAGTCTTAAAGGCATTGTGTTTAACAGGCATGACATGAAGCACCTCCAGACACATGCCCAAGAAGACATCATCGATGGGGTAGAGCTCCAGGGTGTCTGCGACCCAATGAAGCCTCCTTGCTAGGGTCCCATCAATCAGAAAACCTCCTCCACCAGCATATGGAGGGTAGAACGTTTTATTATACAAAGCATGGGGAATATAGTATTTGTTCTCTTTTTTACGAATGGGCTTAGCCTTGAAAATCACATCCCCCACAAACAAGTTCTTTTCATGGCTGCTGCTTTCTAGGAACTCAAATATGTTTTCCACACTGACAAAGACATCATCGTCCCCCTTAAAGACATAGTGTACACGGGTGCAGTAAGTGTGGAACCACTTGAGGAAGTGGGTCTCCTTGAGTGTGAGGTTGAAGAAGCTATCCAAGAAGTCCCACTCAAGGATATCCCCATAGATGTAGTCCTCGTACTCCACAAGCTTCTGATGATTTGCCCTCTCTGCATCATTGGAGGGTTTACCAAGAAGGAAGAGGGTTTTTATCTTCTTTCCATCCACCACCCGCTCTTTGCCCCAGGTTTTTCGGATGACCTCCCTTCTGTCATGCTGGGTAGCCACCGATTTAATTACCATTAACAAATATATATCCCCTGTGCACTTCTCTGGGTGGTTAAGGAGCATGGGGAAGTAACGACAATGTCGATAAAGCATAAACTGTTTAAAATTACCTTCCAGGCCCCTGAACCAGTCCTGGCTGGACAGGTTGAGGTTTGCACTACAGTTGGAGCTGGTTACATCCCAGGCTCTGGGGCTGCTGTCCTCAGTGATTCTAGGTTCATGTACGGTGGCTTGAACTTTAGACTGTTGCTGGTGTTTGCTCACCTTCCAGAAGCCTTTTATGTCCTGGTAAAAGCCAGCTTTCTTTTCCAGTGCAGCTCCAGGCTCCACTCCCCCAGAAACATCCATGCGAGCCAGGCTCTCGAGTTCGAATGGAACCCCCCTATTGATGCCCGTTCTCTGGACAACAGTCACCGCTACCACAATCAGGAAAAACATGACACTCATACTTTTGTACAGCCTCCATCGATCTCTGTTTTTCATCCTGGGCAAGGACAAAAATCAAAGATGTCAATCAGAAAATATCTACCTTTTAATAAAGCTTTTAGATATTAGAAAAATATTTCAGTGATACCACAGGTATGTATTTTGAATTTGTTATTTTGAAATAAAACTAAATAAACAGGAAAATATATAGGCAAAAATGCACAATCTTAATTAGTGATCTCATACAGGTTAAATCACATTTACACATTTAGACAGCAAAGCAAAGAATAGCCATTATATTATAGTAATAATAGTATAATTTTCTTCATACAGTCACATAAAAATATAAAAATACAGATAACAAGGAATCTACAAGGAACTTGTTTTTGTAAGCTTACGTTTTTTCTCTGAAACAAATGACATGCATTTAAGATGTAATTACAATAAGATGATGCTGGTGTCACTTTTTTTAACCAGTGTTACTCCTGGATGAACATGTGGAATGTAACTGGACATGAAATAATCTGTGCACTTCAAAGTCCTACATCTCAATCCTGCCAGGGCTCGTTACATTTAAGACCCCTGAGACAACCCCGTGTGGGCCCGTTTACTGTTGGAAGAAATCCCCCACCCCCAGCAAAGCAGACATGAAACTAGGCCAAGTCAACATGCCCTTAGAAGTTCACTATCATTTAATAATATAGCAGCCTTCATGAATAAGATCTACATCATCTTAAAATTTTGGCTGAAAATGAAAATGAGTCCCACATGACCATTTGTCCTTGATGTTTTTGTTCTTCTTTAAGTTAACATCTTGATGAGTTCTTATTTTATTAGGCATATCTATGTAATGAAAACAGGGGTAAAACGTGCACATAGCAAAGGGGTCGTGTAAAATAAATAATCCGTAACACACTGATAAAGAAGTTAGGAGGGTTCACTTACATTTTGCTTTAGACGATGTGCGATGGCTGCTTTGAGACAACAAAACCAATAAATTCCTGATTATCGAGACCCGAAAAGTGGAAGTAACTGACTTTATGTCTCATCGGCTTTTGGGCCAAAACATAAAATAGTCGTTTCCATCCAAACAGTCTTGTTGCAAATAGCGTTGGCAGAGCTGGCAGAGATCTTAAACGCTCCTGCGCCTGGCGATGCAGACGCCCCGTGGGATGTACTGAGGTCTGCGCTCGCCCCCGACAGAGACGCGTTCTTACAGGCTCGGCTGCAGTTACGTAGACGCGCAGGATGCGGATGATGAATGAACTGGGAAGCAGAGTCCACAAGCCCTAAAACAGTCTACTGGAATTCTTTTGTTTGGAAACGTGTTTTACTGTCAGTGGTGGAAGTACTCGCAGCTTTTACATAAGTAAAAGTTGCAGTAGTGTAAAAGTAGTCTGTTACAAGTAAAAGCCCTGTCTTCAAAATGTTAAAGGTACACAAGTATTAACATCGAAATAAAGTAAAAGCCCACATAGCAGACAGGTGTGGGCCAGATCTGGTATCAAGCCCGCACTGCTGGCCGACTGCTGGCATGGCAAGTGGTATGTCAGCTGGATGTGGGCCACATCTGGCAATGATGGCACTGTTAATATGATGGCATGCCACAAGTGGCCCGATTGGTTTGGTTTATGTGGCCCAGATCTGTCCATGCCACATATGGCCCGACTGTGGTTGAGCTTATGTTGTCCATGTCTGTCTCATATGAATATGTTCTCTTAAGTGTGAACCACAAAGAATTTTAAGTCTTACCTTTAAAATGTTTTTCTACCTTTACTGGTGTCTCACACACCACCACCCTACTCCTAATTCAATTTAGTCTTTCCAGTTTATAGCAATTAAGTGCATTCAAACTCATAAACACATCAACATCACATACTCCAACACTGACAGAAAACCTTTATTTCTCAGAATTGAATGAGTAATAATTAAAACAGATGGCCCTCAACGTTACAGGACAACTGTGTTTGTGTGTTGAGAAATTAAATCTCTCACTATTCTGAAAAGACTGTCCACTTATGCTTCCCTGACAACCAACCAGCCAAACTTGTCCTTTGCTCTTCGCTCTCATTGGCTCTAGCTATTAACAGAACTGGATGCACCGTTTTGAACAGAGAAAAGGGGTCATGGCCTCATGCTGGCCCATGTGTGGGCCACCTCTGCATGGCAAACCAGGTCTGGGCCACCAAAGGGCCGTCATTCTTTGCTGTATGTCGGCCGAGTGTAAGTGCATTGTGTGGGCCAGAACCGGGCCAGACCAATTTTGCTATGTGGGAGTACTCATACAGAATGGTATATTTCATACGAATATTTAACATTTTATTAGATTATAGTTATTGATTAATTATTTTGCACATGCCATTTAATGTTGCCACTGGTAAAAGCGGAGCTGATTTTTAATTACCTACTGCTGAGTAGTTTTTTTAATTTACCACTGAGGATCAATAAAACCTTATGATTATACTGTGTTTTATTGACCTTATTCTGAAAAGTAACTAGTAACTAAAGTTATCAGAAAAATGTAACAAAGTAAAAAGTGCAATATTTACCTTAAAAGTATACAGTGCAATACCTTTAAAATTTTGTGAAGTCAAACTGAAGTAGCAGAAAGTGAAAATACTCAAGTAAAGTACAGATACATCAAATTGTACTTAAGTACAGTACTTGAGTAAATGTACTTAGGTTTTTTCTACCTCTCTTTACTGTAGATCTTAATTGAACACCATATGGAGCATGCTATGGTAGCTTACAGTTCCAAAACTTTTAACTAATTTATTAATGTCTTAATTGTCACTAATGATTTTTTTTGCCTTCTAGTTGTCACAATTTCATAAATTCAGTTTTCAGTATAGAGATACTGTATATATGAAGTAATGTCTCAGATCAAAAAGGTTTGTCATAAAATGCTGCACAAAGTAAAAGGATATAACATGAACACTGACGATATTTTGACAATTAATAAAAGAGGACTAGAAATAGAATATTGGGTTTTTATAAACCTTTAGCTTTTAATGATGGCTTTCAGGGGACAGTCTAAATAAAATTTGTTAACCCATCCATCCATCCACTTTCTTCCGCTTATCCGGGACCGGGTCGCGGGGGCAGCAGTCTAAGCAAAGATGCCCAGACTTCCCTCTCTCCAGACATTTCCTCCAGCTCCTGCGGGGGATTCCCTCTCTCCAGACACTTTCTCCAGCTCCTCCGGGGGGATGCCGAGGCGTTCCCAGGCCAGCCGAGAGACATAGTCCCTCCAGCGTGTCCTGGGTCTTCCCCGGGGCCTCCTCCCGGTGGGACATGCCCGGAACACCTCCCTAGGAAGGCGCCCAGGAGGCATCCGAAACAGATTCCCGAACCACCTCAGCTGGCTCCTCTCGATGTGGAGGAGCAGCAGTTCTACTCCGAGCTCCTCCCGGGTGACCGAGCTCCTCACCCTATCTCTGAGGGTGCGCCCGGCCACCCTGCGGAGAAAGCTCATTTCGGCCGCCTGTATCCGGGATCTTGCCCTTTCAGTCATGACGCAAAAGGGGCAAGATCCCGCATTTGTTAACCTATTAGTAATATTAATCATTCCATGCAGTGGACTTCCTTATATACTGCTGACATCAACAAGAGGTGCTATTGTTGATGACATTTCACAGAACAAACTCTATAGGCTTTCATCAGCTCCCTGGGCTTTGACAGCCATTGTGTGACTAAAAATTTTACATATTTACCAGCCTATAAAAGTGATATTTTATAGACCAGGTACTGTTGGAATCAGTTGTCAAGGAAGATTAGCGCTGTTGATGAATGCATTCCTACAACATGACTCACAAATCTTGATTACAGGTACTGGAAATCAAAAGGTCTGAGTTATGTTTTCTTTTCAATCTGAACAGTTACAAAGATAATGTAGAGCTGTATCACCAACAGATAAGTTTTGGGCATAAAACAAATGTTATTGATCTGATTTTTACTCTTAAGGTCTTTCAATATGAAAGCAAAATAAGGATTGGTGTCTGCTGAAATGCTGATTGCACAGTTGTCACCACCACAACTTAAAGTTTGCCATGGAGAACTATACTCTTTCGTCTCACTGTGGTCTGCGGAAAGAACAACAAAATATCTCTGTGTACTTCAAAACAAGTATTTTTCAATCTAATACAGCTGTGATCTAAAATATCTCCTTCCTCTCCTTCTCTCTCCATTTCCTGGATCCAACCAGCTATCGTTCTCAGGGCCATGTGCATCCTGTTGCCTGCTGGTGCTGTTTTTCCCGTTTGGATTTTTTTTCTTCTCTGTGTGGGCTTGAGCTTTGCATATGCTATGGGGAAGTGAAGTACTGATGGACACCACAGTCCCTTATCTTCCCTGTAAGGCACACACCCCCCTCTGTCACTATGCCTAACAGAGACAACAGCCAGTAAGGAAATCTGAGCTCTATGAGCATAGTTACTCATTATAACATATGATTTGTTTCAGAATATGGCATTTGTTCCTGCATTTTTATTGATTCTAATGTTGATCTTAAAATGCAAAGTCTACAGAATTCTCCTGAAAATAAAAATCAACAGAAAATAGAGGGTTTTCAACTGAAAACAGCTAAATTAAAGCTGCAATGGTCAGTATTTTTGTATTTTACTTGTATGTCATTGGTTTTGCTCATAGTGGTGAAGCCACAGGAAATTAGCACCCTGACCCTCTTCAGGATAAGCATATATATAATGCCTGGATGGATGGATGGATATAAAAATACTGAGTAGAACTAAAGGAAACTATAACATCTGGGTGGGGGGGGGGGCGGGTGGCTGGAACCAGGCCCAGCTGACATTGGGTGAGAGGCGGGATACACTCTGGACAGGTTGCCAGTCTATCACAGGGCTGACAGAGACAGACAAGCACACACACCCACACTCACTCTTACAGGCAATTTAAAGTCACCAGTCAACCTAAGATGCATGTCTTTGGACTGTGGGGGGAAGCTGGAGTACCTGGAGAGAGAGTATTTTAATATTTTTAAGTTCATTCTTTGGGTTCCAACAGACCAACTGTTTGGGAGCAAACAGACCAAGTTAGCAGCTATCTGAGGAACATCTAGCAGTTATAAAGAGATATTTCCTCAGGAGCTCAAAAGAAGAACGAACATTTGATTTACTTTCATAGTGGCCTAACACATGACTCAAAATGAATGTTGCTCAGCGTCTGTCTGATGTGAAAGGAGGCAACTAATTACTACCACGTTCACCATAACAACTGGTAATAGTATATCAGAGTTGTGTTAGCACCTTGTTTTGCTTAACCTTAACTGTCGTAAAATGCGACAATTTGATATGCTTATGTTACACCTGACAATCCCACTGTCACTCTATCAGTGCTTATTATCTACTTAACAACTCCTTTTCACCTTTTGTTGTAGTTTACGCAAGAATGGCGAAGTTGGTGTGAGCTGGGGGCTGCTGGGCCGGAAGGTACTAAGAAAAACAGACTGTTAATAAGAAATGGTAATGGAACACCCTGTGGCTATGTGTTGCTTTGGAGAAGTCTGTGCCAATCTCTTGTGGTTACGACACCTGGGGAACTTTGAATTGTCAAACTCTTGTCAACTGGAATGAACAAGCCTCAGAAAATGCATGCGTTCTTCCTCCTTTGAATAACTAAGGGGCCCTGGCTGCTGGCTCCTCAGTCACTATGAAAAAAAAAATCTGATGCTAGAAAAGAAATAACAGCTTGAGGGGATTTTTCCCTTAAGACTCTTTTTCACTAAGCTGGCAGCTGTCATGTTCCTTTCTGAAAATGCGATAGAACAAAGAAGATGTGATCAGACTATATTATAAATGTCCCTGTTCCTTCTAACCACCCAGAGATCCCTATAGGCTTAAAAACACTATTGTAAGTTCACCATTATGCAGCTACAAAGCACAATTTGAAATATTACTTTGAACTAAAAATCTGCTTTCTTTATTTTTTGCTGATTTCAAAGACATACACATTCCTTTTCGAGTTAAATATATTACTGACTTAGGCCCATTAAATAGTCCCAAAGGCAATGTCAAGAGAATGTTATGCTAGTTTGTTTGTTTATCATATTCCATCCATTAGCTCTACACATTATCCTGTGGGGCCTGGGTCAACAAATGAAAAAGCAAATAACAAAAACATATTCAAAAATCAACTGTCATGCACAATTCCAGAAATGCTGGTGTCATCCACTGATAAGTCACCTTTGGTGAGTGCAGATAAGCAAGGCTGTTAAACTCATGCAACTGTCATCTCTTTAATCTTTTATCTCCTTCTTGTTGAAGAACCAACAGCCTTGAAGTGGCATTTACCCTTTCCCACAAAACATTCTAACCACATTTTGGATTTGCTGTAGTGTACGCACACAAAAAACTGCAGCTGCAAAAGTTAACAGGTAGTTTGTGAGGACATTCCTGAAGTCATAAATGTAAAAGTTGAATTCCAAATAAGCTTAAAGTTTTAGTGTGTTTGATGAGTGGCCTCTTTGGCCATTAACAACATAGCATTTTTTGAATTAGCAACAATGCTTCTGTCAATATGCAAGGCGAGTTGATTTATAAAGCACATTTCATACACAGAGACAATTCAAACTACTTTACAGAGGCAAGGAAAAACAGTAACAACATTAAAAAGAATAAGCATAAAATAAGCAATAAGAATAAAATCAGTTAAGACAAAGCGAAGATAAAACATTGTTATAATCTACCAAAATCTAGCAGTTACATAAAAACCAGTCAAACAAAGGCACAGGAAAACAGCAGACTTTTCAGCCTTGAAAGTGGCTAGAGTAGGGGCACTTTGAAGGTCATCAGGATGTTGCTACAAAGTTAGTGACATACAAACTTCCAAAACTAACAAACATGGCCAGAAAAGAAAGATATACACCTTCATGTTTTTACAACAACAGTGCCACTATGGGGTTCACATTGATCTGTCTGTTCAAAAGGACTGGTCATAGGGAAACAGGGGGTTCAAGAGACAAAGAAACTAAAACGTTGCTTCTGCTTGGTGTCACCCTTTATCAGTGGTCCACACAGCTGTTCACTGATAACACATCTTAAAATGGTGCCAGTGATCCTGATGACACGTAGGGCTCTTTAGTAGAGGATGCTCCTGTTGTTGGAGTCTAAAATGTCTTCATACCTTGGGTCTTACTTTTCATTTTGGCCACCATTCCCACTGCTAACATTTTCTCATCGGATTAATTGCAGCGGTATGAGGATATGGTGAGTCTGCTGAACTTTAAATGAAAATCAATAGCAGGTTAACTATATTAACTAAACACCTTTTTGCCGTGAAATCCAAGGTAAAGGGTGAATAATTACACAAGCTCAGTGTAGCAAATTTCAAAAGCTGTTTCCTGGTTCAGATTTGTTTCACTGTACCTACTAATAGCTGAAAGGTAATGTGGTTTAACTTGGGATTTTTTTGGTCTTGTCATGCTAATGAACACTGTTGTAAACATGAGATGCTTGATGGGCAAACCTAGTTTTAAAAACCCGGATTATCTTTAATGAACCAAAACATAAACAACACTGTTTTTATTAATAAGAGATGGATTAACTTGTCCATTCTTCTGAGTTGCTTTGCAGTTTTCTATGTTAGACAACCACTACTTGGTCTGAGGAGATACTATATTTAGGATTATGCAACTACTGAGCAGAAAACTGAAAAATGTACTACCTTAAAATAGATTTTGACTGAGATTCTTTTCAAGACATTGTGGGTACCATAACCAAGCCTCACATTGAAAACCGATAAAATGTAGAGGCCACTTTCAGATCAGTCTCAAACAAATATCAGTTTCATAAAGGTATCAGTCTCATTACAAAGCCCTTAATGACAAGCCTGCATCGTATCTTAAAGACCTCATAGAGCCATATCATCCTAACAGAGCACTTCGCTCTCAGAGTGCAGGTTTACTTGTGGTTCCTAGAGTCCACAGAAGCAGAATGGGAGGCAGAGCCTTTAGCTATCAAGCTCCTCTCCTATGGAACCAACTCCCAGTCTCAGTTCAGGAGGCAGACTACCTCTCTACCTTGAAGATTAGACTTAAGACGTTCTTTTTTGATAAAGCTTATAGTTAGGGCTGGATCAGGTGACCCTGAGCCTTCCCTTAGTTATGCTGCTATAGGCCTAGGCTGCTGGGGGGCCCCATGATGCTCTGAGTTTCTTCC